GATGACCTCCTGAATTCCACAGAAGCAAAGATATAAACGCTTCTGGAAGCTTTCTGTTCCAAAGGAAGTAGAGGCTTTTCAATGTCTCAACAGCTCAGCTACTAAAAATAACAATCCCACCTACATGCCAGACAAGTTTTTGGGGATCACTGAAGGACCAGAATAGAAAGGTTTCTTGTGTGTTAGGGGCCCAGAAGCTGAGTTAGGAGACAGTGGGCAGCTGTTCGCAGCTGGAACTATGGCCCAAGGTCCCTGGAATCTGGCAAGAATGCCAAATGATGCTCTGCCAATAGCACCATAGAGCTCACTTCCCGGCCACACATATGGACGTCTGCACCGGCCCTGATTCTCCAGAAAACTGCAAATGGAGAAAGCTGCACCAGCAAGAGCCCTGAGACCGACCTCACTTCCGCCCTTGGGAGAGCCCACGGTGAGAGCAGAGGAAGCAGACTACCACAATCCCTCCAACTGAGGACACAGTATGGCCGACTCAGAACGGAAGAGGAGGGGCATGTGCGGGAGGGAAAGCCAGGGTGTGCAGGGCCTCGGTCGACCTGCAGCTCCAGCTTCCAGCCACTCTGAAGGTGAAGGACCGTCACAGCAGACTTGTGAGCGGAGGGGTGGCAATGTGGGTGTGCAGTGGACCCCCACTGTTGGAAGGACAGCCAGGATGGGAGAGGACAGAGAAGCAGGAAAGAAGCGGGAATGCCGAGTCCTACCACCCACTCTGGTGCCGACTTCAGTTGGTCCCTCTGGGGTGATCCTCGTGTGAAGTAGGACACAGCAGCCTTCCTGGGCTAGTCATCCCTTCCCTGAGCCATTCAAAAAAGCAATGTAGAGTCTTCTTTTGGGTGATAAATTCAGGTCTACACCATCAAAGACTCAGAGGTTACAAAAGGGGTCCTGACTTGGACTGCCTAGGTCTGGGAAGGTTCCCGGTGGTCCCTAAATCGGGGCCTGAAGGGTTGAGAGCTTATAAGCAATGGGGGGCCAGATAGAGGAACGATGAGAAACGGGAGGGGGCAGAGTAAAACAGCTCTGGTCAGGGAGACGTCAGCTAGGGTAGGTAAAAGCCCTGGACTCAGCATAATGGAGTAACTGGTGCCTTGACCATGTGTGAACAGTCAGGTGAGAGGTGCTGGTACCATGTAGACAGCGACCTAATGCCTGGTGAGGGGGGTCAGAAGGCAGGAGCTCCCTCTCCTGGCCACAGGTAAAATAGCAGCTGTCAGTGAGGCCTGGATTACCTCCTTAGCCTGGGCGGGGCTCCATTCCTTGAACTGGGAAACGGTATGAGAGCTAAATAAAACTAGGGTGCAGTTTGGGTCATCACACCCAAATAGGGCACCCTTTGTTGGGTCTACTCTGAAAGTGTGGGAAAAAATGGGGACCATTCTAGCAAATTTTAGAGACAGTGATTCTGGCCTGGCCTGCTTCCCTCTGGGCCATCCACTCAGCTTTTGCTCCCCGCTCCACTGCCAGCTCTTAGACAGTGATCAGGATTCCACCAGTCTCTGGCCTGGGAGGCCACCTAGCCCGACACTCCTGGTAACCACATACTGATAACGAAGAGGTGACAGCTGGGATACCACAGGTGGCAGAACACCCCAGAACCAGGGATGGCCTACTGGTCACCTGCAAGCAGCCACAGCAGACTGGGACATGGCTTCAAGCCCTACTGCCTGGCCCAGCAATCTCAGGTCGGCTTGAAGACCCGGGCTGGAAGAATAAAGGTCTAAGAGAGGATCTGAGGGCAGGAGAGAAATCCATAATTCAGGTGTGGTGGCACACACCTTTAATCCCAGCACTCATGAAGCAGAGGCAGGTAGATTAAAACCAGAAGCCAGCCTGGTCTACCTGAGTTCCAGGCCAGCCTGGGCTACACAATGAGAGACAAGTCTCAAAATGAGAGGGGAGGGTATGAAGGTGGAGGCCCAGTGGAGGACAATCAATTCCTGAGGCCCCAATGGGTCAGCATCCCAGAAACTCCTTGGACAATAAGGTTTTGCGCCTCTTTTTTTTTTTTTTTTTCTTTTCTGGCCAGCAAAATCACCAAGGGAAACAGAAAGGTGTGGAGCCCTAGTTCTTGTGATGTCCCTTTCCCTACCCACCAAGGGGTAACGGGAATCTAGGATCCAGTGGGAAAATCCCCTTAGAAGTTATGCCACACACGAGCCAGTTTAAATTTTTTTTTTAATGCAGAGAGAGAGAGAGAGAGAGAGAGAGAGAGAGAGAGAGAGAGAGAGAGAGAGAGAGAACGGCTTCATTGCATAGAATCCACTTTCTCCCCGCCAGGCAGCCTGTCATCTGTGGCTGTCTCTCACAATCTAAATGATCTCGTAGAAATAAGATCTAATATCTTTGTCAACCATAACTTCCGTCTGAAAACTGACAGACCAAACCTAAGAGGTGCAAAGCAAATCTAGGGCTGCCCCCACTACAGAGGGAGACCCAGCCCATCCTGTGATGCCCAGACACCAAGATGGTATCTATACTGGGGTCTAAAGAGGCCAGACAACCCCCTGCAGCCACTGACATTCAAGGCCTGGAACATCTTGCTAAACAAAACCATTTATCAAGGACTCCATACTAGCCAGGCAGTGGAGGCACAAGCCTTTAAACCCAGCACTCAGGAGGCAGAGGCAGGCGGATCTCTGTGAGCTCAAGGCCAGTCTGGTCTACAAGAGCTAGTTCCAGGACAGGCTCCAAAGCTACAGAGAAGCCCTGTGGGGGGGGTAAGGGGGGGCAAACAAAAAAGAACTCCATACAAGTTATCAGTAGGACCCCTGGTCCCCAATAACACTGAGATAGTGAATGGTATTAGCAAATCATCTTGTTTCCATTTCACAAGTACTGTTCATGGGCACAGTGGGGCATGATGGGGCCTGGTCGAGGGGAAGAGAAAGGTTTCACAGGCTCTCAGCAGGTAGGTCTCTGCTTGCTCCCATGCAATAAAACGTAGCCTTATATAAGCTTGTCTGGAGCTTGTACAAAACCAAAACACATCTGAGAACAGTGTACAGCTCACACTGGAAGCTCCTTTTCTGAACCTTATGCCAGGGAGCCCATTTCTTCCAGATCCAAACACCTAAGAACTCAGGGTGAACTGATGAAAGTCATGGGCTCCCCAGGCGTAGCCCCAAGCTCAGTCCAGTTAAAGCCCTTCCCCTGTGGCATAAGATCTGTCCTGTGACAGCACTGGGCAGTGGCATTGTGGGACAGTAGGAGAAAAAGTCGGTCCACTGCAAAGCTGCTGTGACAACAGAGCCTCTTGAGTAGCCTGGTCCTTCCCAGTGGGTCTGCCCACAGCCTGGTTTTCCAGTCAGCTGACATCCTCTTGGCCAGACCTCAGACCAAACACTTTTCTCATCCTTCAAAGTCTCATACTAGGTACATACAGTAGATGTGAGTTCACAGAGGCAGGAGCCACACATCTGTGTTAAAAAGGCGGATGTGGCCTCTTTAACCTTCTGCAGTTATGGCTTTCTTAACACGATTCCCTGTCAGCCAAGTTCTCCAGAGAGGGACTTCTGAGTCATGGCCTCACAGCCCAGAAGGGTCCAAGATAGTTAGCTGCTCAGTGAACCCACAACAACAGCGCCATGGCCCTCAGGATGTCTCAGTTCACAGAGGCTGCAGAGATGTGAGGAGACAAGATTCTGTGACAGAGACTAGCCTGAACCTGGATTCACACGAGCTGTAGGGAATCAGCAGGCAGATTCCCTCCTGGAAGCTCTGTAGCTGGGTGCTTTGAGATGAGAAAGCAGCCTAGCCAAGGTTGGCAGAATAAGAACTTTTTACTGCCATTTTACTGCTCCTGTCCCAAGTCAGGTATAGTGGCACACACCCCTAAGCCCAGCATTCAAGATGCTGAAGACAGCCAGGGCTGTAGACATGGTACCACAAACTCACACTGAGGCCCAGGGTCTATCTCCTACATGTCCTAGGTAAGAAAAGAGGAAAATCTTGCCAAGAGCAAATAAAGCAAACAAGCCCCTTAGCTTCAATGAGAAACTTTCTAAAATCGAAATGTAAATTTTACCCAAAGAACTGATATTAAGAACAGTTTCAGTTAGGGGGCTGGAAAGATGGCTCAGGGTTTAAGAGCACTGACTACTCTTCCAGGTCCGGAGTTCAGTCAGTTATCAGCAGCCACACAGTGGCTCACAACCACTTAGAATGAGATCTGGTGCCCTCTTCTGGCCTGCAGGCAGAACACTGTTTACATAATACAGTAAGTTTCAGTTCAATCATTTAACACTTGTGTGCCACGCAAGACTTCAGTTTATTAATTTTTGGTAACAATAATTTAAAAGGTACAAAGGGTCTCATATTACAGAAATATGGAAATATACAATAAAGAAAAATCGGGGGTCAAACTGCTGAAACACAATAGCATCAGCTAGCAAGAAGGCCAGAGGCCAATGTGAATTACCCCAGCAACCAATATGCTTGCTTTCATTGTTTTGGGTTTTAAGACAGCTTCATGTATGTACCCCTAACTAGCCTCAAACTCACTGGGTGAATTCTGGATTTTGTTCCATAAACACGAAAACAGATCAATACACAGAACAGACTAATTCGCACTGGCTGTTAGGTGCATCTGCAGCCTGCAATCTGAACTGAACACACATTAACAGCCCACACAGTACGGTTTCAGGTGTTTAGTAGGAACTCACCAGGTAAAGTCGGGCATTGTGGCACAAACCCTAATCCCAGTGTTTGGGAGACAGAGGTAAGTTTAAGAGGCTGACCTAGTCGGCACAGCAAGTTCTAGGCCTAGTCAGGGTTAATAAGTGGATCAAATTTCAATAGTACCTGTTCACACACTCAAAAATCTGCATCTTTTAGGGAAGCTGACTTCAACCCTGGCTTTACCACTGACAAAAACCAAGACTGGTGCATGGGCTACCACTGGAAATCCTATCTACAAAGCCTTTTCAAGACTCTGCACTAACTAGAAATGGGGCAAAGAATACCTTGAAAAAAAAAAATACTGCTTTTCACAAAAATGACGACTGGGCCTGGGCCAGCCAGCAAGTGTTCCAAATCATGCCAAAGTCTCTCGTGACTAAAGTTGGAGGTTGTGTGAAGCAGAGATGCTCTGATGTATGGGGTCTCACACACACACCCTGTACACGATTAGCACCAGCAGGCTAATGCCTAGATTGCACAGGACTGACTTCAACAATGATGAAGCATCTCAATTATTCACTGAAGAACTAAGCTTGGCAACGCTCTTCTTACAAAACACTACTTAGTGCTTGGTGTAGAAACCAAATAATAAAGCAGGCTTTTCCCCTTGACAGTACTATGTTTGTGTGCAAAGTGCTAGTTTTATTTACAAACTCAAGTAAACGCTAGAGTCCACGGGAAGCAGTGAATGAGGCTCACATCTTTTAAACAGTCTTATGGCAACATGCTGAATCCTGCTTGCTGGAGGGTCGCCTCTCATAGAGCCTGGGTCTGTTGGTGCTTGGGGCCAAAGGCTATCACACACTACTCCCAGAAGCCAAGGGCAGAATCTCCCCTAAGAATCCGAGTACCTTTAACATCCTTCCTCTAGTAACACAACTAGCAAAAAGGGACCAACTGAGGTAGCTACCCAGTTCTTAGATACCGGTTAACAAATTCATGGTGTAGCCCATTGATTGCTTTTGCTGACTTTTTTTATGACAAGGGGAGAACAATAATCAGCAAAGAGCAGGCAGTTTACTCAGAAGTCAGCATCCAAGGTGAAAGAATTCTCTGCTGAATTTGACATCACCCCCATCCTCTGATACTCGCCCACTCGCTTCTCAAAGAAGTTTGTCTTTCCTTCTAGTGAAATATTTTCCATGAAGTCAAACGGATTTTCTACTTTGAAAATCTTGCTGAACCCTAGCTCCAGCATAAGCCTGTCCGCCACGAATTCAATGTATTGCTTCATCAGGGTGCAGTTCATCCCGATGAGCTTCACAGGCAGGGCCTCCGTGAGAAACTCCTGCTCTATCCTCACTGCATTGATAATGATTTCTTGTACTCTTTGCTCCGATGGCTTGTGTACCAGGTGCCTGAACATCAGGCAGGCAAAGTCACAGTGTAAACCCTCATCTCTGCTAATAAGCTCATTGGAAAATGTAAGGCCAGGCATCAGTCTCCGTTTCTTGAGCCAGAATATTGACGCAAAAGAGCCAGAGAAGAAGATCCCTTCCACAGCAGCAAAGGCCACAACTCGTTCTCCGTAGGTAGCTTCTTTGTCCCCAATCCAACGCAGGGCCCAGTCGGCCTTCTTTTTCACACAAGGCATTGTCTCAATAGCATTGAAGAGATATTCCCTGTCGACAGAAGTATACCATGAACCATACCAGACCCCTAGTAGCACAGCAGCTTGTAGTGCAAGGCCCGATGAGCTGTTCCACACCAGCTTTCCATCCTGGTGTCAGCTGATCACCCTAACCCTGACTTTCCACCCTCTACCTCCAAAATATAAAAGCCTCTTTCTCTTTATTAATTTTCTATAATCCCCTAATGTAGAGTAACATTTTACCAAACTGGTCTAAAGTTAATCTTTTAACTCAGTATTGTCAAGAGTATGTAATTCCCCTCACTTCCAGTTCATTTTTTAAATAATCATTTGTAGCCACATTTTTATATTTATTAATGTATGTGAGTGTTCTATCTCCATGTAAGCCTGCATACTCAAAGAGGGCATTTAAGATCCCACTATAGACAGCTGTGAGCCACATTTGGTTGCTTGGGTCCTCTTGAGTAGCCAGCACTCTTAGCTGCTGAGCCATCTCCAGCCCAGTAGCCACATTTTTAATTTTTTTTTTTTTATGTATGAGTGTTTTGCCTGAATGTTTCTTTGCGCCACGTGTGGAGTACCTGTGGAGGCCAGTAGGGGGCATATGATGTAACTGGAGTTAAATGGGTTATGAGCTGCCCCAAACTGCTGTGTAGGGGTTAGAAACCCAAACCAGGTCCTTTGAAAGAGCTTAACCACTGAGTCATCTCTCCAGGCCTTCCTTGGTTTGTTGTTTGGTTTTGGACACAGTATCTCATCTGGCCAGACCTGGAACAACGGCAATGCTGCTTCTGGTCTCTGGGGTGCTGGGATTATAGACATGAGCTACAACACATTCGATTTTTCATTGAGCGAGTAATAAAGTGAATTTGGGTCCTTTGCTCAAAGCAGCCAGGACTAAGGGCCCTAGAAGTATCTACAGTCTTAGTCAGTCTGCCTGTTCGCCTTGTGAACAAAAATACTTGAAATACAATAGTAAGTTCGTGAGTCCTGGGTATCTTAGCATACACACCATGTGGATACTCACCTCTCTTTGGAATCTTTAATGTAAGTGTCGATGAGGAGACTGTACATTTCAGAATGTATGTTTTCCATGGCAATTTGGAAGCCATAGAAACAGCGGGCCTCTGTAACCTGAACTTCTTGGCTAAAGCGCTCCACCTAGTGGTAATGAAATAAACAAGAGTTAAACCTGAAAAACGACTGGTTGCAGCTCACCTTTGAGCATACTAGGATTAATTCCAGCCCTGAGGCACCCTCCTAAAGCAGGAATCTTTGAGGCCATCTTGGTCTGCTTACTGAGTTCTAGGCCGGCCAGGATTACAGTGAGAATTTGTTTCAAAAATATAAGCAAAACACACCCAGGCGGCCCGGGTTCGACTCCCGGTGTGGGAACCAAAAAAAAAAAAAAAAAAGTAAACCAAAAACTAGAAACAAGTTTGCTCCTATATATTGTAGTACAGATCTTCACGTTGCTGCAATAAAGCATATTATTTTATGTCACATGCTCAATTTACTACCAGGAAATAAAGAACTCTTATTTTGCTGGTCTAACAAAACTGTTAATTTTGTCTTTTTTGAGACAGGGTTTCTCTGTGTAACAGTCCTGGCTGTCCTGGAACTCACTCACTTGGTAGACCTGTGTGGCCTTGAACTCACAGAAATCTGCCTGTTTCTGGGCGTGAGTCAGCACTGCCTAGCTAAAACTGTTTTTTTAATGTGCATAGGTGTTTTTGCCAGCATATATATATCTGTACACCAGAAAAGGGAGTCAGATCCAATGTTAATTGAGTTACAGCAAGTAACTCAACCTCTGAGCCACTCTCCAGGCCCTGCAGGGCTTAACATCTTATTCATTCTCTTTTAATTAATCCATTTACAATGAAAAGAAATATATAACCAAATTATACAAAGCCACAAAAAGATAAGTGTGGTAGCTAGCTACAAAGAGAAACCTTACCGCTGCAACTTGGCAGAGGAAAAACTAAGATGAATGCTAACATATATCCATAGTTCTTAAAGATTTTACGTGTGTATGCCTTTGAATGGATAAGTACGGGCATGTCCCAAGGACGCCAGTGTGAGCCATCAGATGCCCTGGAGCTAGAATCACTAGCAGATGTGAAGCCAGCCAATATGGGTGCTCAGAACAGAACTTGAGTCTTCTGCACAGGCAGGAAGTGTGTTAACCACCGAGTGGAGCCATCTCTCCAGCCCCCATTCACAGGAGATAAAGTCACACACCAGTCCTCTATCTCTAAGCGAATTACAGCTACGTCATGCAGACTCACCAGGTTTTCATTGACAATGCCATCACTCGCCGCAAAGAAAGCCAGGACGTGAGATATAAAATGTCTCTCGTCGGGTTTCAGCGCTTCCCAGTGTTGAATATCCTTGGAGAGGTCGACCTCCTCAGCCGTCCAGAAGGAGGCCTCGGCTTTCTTGTACATCTGCCAGATATCATGGTATTCGATGGGAAAGACCACGAAGCGGCGGGGATTTTCTCTCAGTAAGGGCTCATCCTCAACGCTGGGCTTAGTAGATTCTTTACTTTCCTGTTGGGTGAGAGAAACAACCACCCCAAAAATATTAATCGAACCAGACGAACTTTCTAGTGTCTCTCATCAGATCAGGTACTTTCACTGGCTGGGAATTCCGTGTGGCTCGCTGTCACATTGCATGCTATGGTGACCCTCCTAACGAGGAGACCCTGATAGGCAGGCCGACCCAAGTAGGGCATCCTAAGGAGACATTTTGGCGGGAACCTGGAGGGGCTGAGGCAGACAGCTGGGACAATGCAACTTTGGCGCCAACGGCGGCGGACGTCCCGCCCCCTGCCGGCAGCTCCATGGATCACCCACCCACCTGAGCCTCCCTCGGGTCACTCACCGATTCGGCCGGGTCCAGCAAGATTCTCCTCGCAGCCTTGCTCGCCAGGATGCGGGTCCCGCTGAGACTCGGGGGCGTGTTCTCCTTCTCGGACAGGTGGAGTCGCTTCAGCGGTGACACCTTCAGCTGCTGCTGGTCGGTGATGGTGGCGAGCGGGACGCGGGCGGAGAGCATGGCGAGCGAGGGCGGCGGCCGAGGCGACGGAGAAGGTGGCGGAACGACTAGAACCCGGAGCACAGGCGGCCCGCCAGCCTCCGCACCTTTTAAAAGGCCCGCGGAGGGGGCGGGCCCGCGCTTCCCATTGGCTCATTGGCTGGAGCGTGCACCGGGCGCGGGAGTTGCGCCGTCCGCTCTTCCGCACAAAGACCTCTGCCACGGAGTCTGCGCCGACCCCGGGGGCGCGCGGGCGCTCGGGGGCCCGGAACCGTTTGGGGTGGCGGGAGGCACGGCTATGGGCGAGCACCCGGATCGGGGAGGAGCGGGGAGTTGTCGCCGAGGTTGGTGCCACGGCTTGGCGAGATGCTGCCGACCTCTGGGCTGCGTCGCCTGCACTGTCTTTACGTCCCTGCTATGGGGGTGCGGAGAATCCAGCTAGGACCGAGTAGCCTGGGGAGGGAGGACTACCGAGCCCCGCAACTTTCGGGGTCACCAGTCAGGAGACTGGTAACCGCACCCACCCCGCGGGATTAGCAGAGGGGAGGGCTTTAAACGAGGGTTCGCGTAAAGGCGATCTGTTGTAAGCCTTCAGGCTCGCTAAAGGGGTACGGAGACGGCCTTGGATATAGTGTCAGCCCCTTGTCCCCCGTTTCCCGCTTGTTTTAAAAGTCGCTCTTTTTTTTTTCCAGGAAGTTCAGAGGATGATTACGCGCCACACATTGGTTTTACGACTCCCTGGCCGTCCAGTTGTCGGAAGACGAATTTGAAAATTCCTGCGGTGAGGGTGGAGACGGGAACTCCCGCTTTCGTCTGGCTTTGTAGGTGGCTTTCGGCTTCGCCCTGGGGAGGGGCACCGACATGCCAGAGATAAGTGCCCTAAAGGAACGTTGAGTTCCCGGGGAAGAAACGTGGAATGCTCCCCTCTGCCTGCGTCAGTACAGTGCCCCGAGTTCTCTCAGTGTAGAGGAGAGAAAAAAAAACTATCACTGAACGCAAAGTGGCAACTCGAACTTCAGGCCGGCAGCCCTGTTACTGCCTCACCCAGCTGCTCTTTGTAGACATAAATAAACTGAATTGTCGGCTTCACTAATACACACGCCAGTATCCAGCCCCAAAACAACTGGTCTCCCCCAACCCCCTTTAAAATAAAGCCATCTTAGTATCCTAGACTGGCCTCAAACTCCACGCGTAGTTGAGGATGACCTTGACCCGGTCTTCCCGACTCCCTCCAGCTCCCGCGGGGGAATTACTGGCGGGTATCCACCACCGTGCAGTTTAGGCCTCCTTCCCTGCTAAGCCTACTGGGCCATATCGATAAAGATTTTTTGTTAATGATTTGAATTTTGTTAATTATTAGAATATAGACATTGCCTAATTCACCTTTTACTTTTCAGTAATCAGTATCCGAGGGCCACCTTTCCTGGTGTTCTCAATACAAATGAGGTCCTGACTAATAAAATAACATTGAGGGGAAGAGGGAGGGGGAAGGTAGGCGCCATTCTCTCCTCCCGCCACATCAAAGCGCCTATTCCTCCCGCCAAGCGGGCAGAGCTAAGGGGGCCGCGCTGCCCCCGCCCCCGGCGCCCCGACCTGTCAGGAGTTGCGCGCTTTTGCATTTGGCGCCAGTTTTGACCTCTGCTCCGTGATTGGTCGACTTCGCTTCAAACGTCTCAAGCCCCGCCCACCCCTCAGCCCGCGTTCGGCAGTCACTCCCAGGAGCTGGGGCACGTCAGCGTTCCGGCGACCAGAGGTGGGGAAACTGAGTCCCCGGGGAGATCGAGTACTTCCCGCAAATCCACTCAGCAGTCTGCATCAGAGTGACAAGAATATAGGCCCAGCACCCACTGCCCCTGTGCATCCGGATCAGGTCACGGGTATTTTCAATCCTGATGAAAAGGGAAAATAAGTAATTTCAGGTCTTTTATAGGTAAGGAAATAAAGGCCAGACAGACCTGGAAACGTCCAATAGCACCTTGAGTCGCACCACTAGACCCTCCCTGACTCCCCTTGTTCTTGTTTGGAAATTTATTTAGGGTGACATGGTGGAACCCGCTAGTGTGAAGGTCAGAGGTCAACCTGTGGAAATTGGAGCTCTCCTATTCTGCCGGGTCCTAGGGATGGATCTCATGAAGGTGGTCTTGGCCGCAGAGCATCTTGCCAGACACCCGTACACACCTTTTTATTAGGAATGTTCCCAACGGACAGAAAAAGTGTTTAATCCCAGCCCTTGGAGGTCATTTAGAGGCCAGCCTGGTCTACAGAGTAAGTTTCAAGCCAGCTTAGGCTACATAGTAAGACCTGATCTCTAAATAAATCAATAAATAAGAAAGAATTTAGGGAGTCAGAGAGTTGGCTCAGTGGTTAAGAGTACTTAACCGCTCTCAAAGGTTCTCTCAAAGGACATGGGTTTGGTTCCTGTCACCCACATGGTGGCTCACAACCAACTGAAACTCTAGCTCCAGGGGACCCAACATTCTTTTCTAACCTCCTAGGGCACCAGTCCAAGGCTGAGCACTCAGATGTGCTGGCAGGAGTTCTTGTGTCCTCTGCACATCCGTGGTTCTGGCAGCACACACCAGGACAGTGCGAGCCCTTCCTCCATAGCCTCCTGCCTTCATGTACCGGTTAGGGCTCACACAGGCAACTCCAGTTAGATCCGGGCACCTTACATTTCTTTCACAACCGAATACTACATCATACTGCAAACTGTTATTTTCTTGGGTATAACTCTAGCATTGTGATATGAAGAGAATAGCTTTAGTATCAGCCTGTTGAAATGCTGATTAGTAAGAGGGTAAAATCTACAATTCATTTTTGTTTTGTTGTTGTTGTTGTTGTTATTGTTGTTGTTGTTGTTGTTAGTTGGTTGGTTGGTTGATTGGTTGGTTTTGTTTTTCCAAGACAGGGTTTTTCCATGTAGCCCTGGCTGTCCTGGAACTCACTCTGTAAACCAGGCTTGTCTTGAGCTCACAGGGATCCGACTGCATCTGCCTTTTAGGTGTGCATCACTATACCCAGCTTCCGGATAACTTACTTGCTTTTTATTTTATTACTTACTTTCTTTTTATTTATTTCTTTTATGTGTGTGAGTGTTTTGCCTACATGTACGTACGCCTGAGGCCAGAAGAAGGCACTGAATCCCCTGGAACTGGAGTAAATAGCTACCGTGACCCACCATGTTGATGTTGGGAACTGAACCCAGTTCTCTGCAGGAGCATCAAGTGCTCTCAATCACTGAGTCACCTCTCTAGCCCCAACACTTCAATTTTTTAAAAATGACTTATTTAACTTTATTGTATGTGCACTGGTGTGAAGGTGTCAGATCCTCTGGGACTGTAGTTACAGACAGTTGTGAGCTGTCATGTGGGTGCTGGGAATTGAACCCTCGTCCTCTGGAAGAGCAGCCAGTGCCCTTAACCACTGAGCCATCTCTCTAGCCCCCCATTTAAATCTTTTTTTTAATATTTATTTATTTATTATGTATACAACAGTCTGAAGAGGGCACCAGACTCCATTACAAATGGTTGTGAGCCACCATGTGGTTGCCGGGAATTGAACTCAGGACCTTTGGAAGAGCAGGCAATGCTCTTAACCACTGAGCCATCTCTCCAGCCCCCCACTTAAATCTTTTTTAAAAACATCCTTATTTAAGTCAGGAGCTTGTGTGTCTCAGACTTGCATTCAGCTCAGCGTGTAGCTGAGGATGACCTCGAACTTCTGCTCTTCCTGTCTTCGCCACCGAGGTGTCCAAATCACAGGCAGGTGCCACTGTGCCTGGATCACATCCTACCCAGTTTCTACCGTGCTGGGGACTGAACCCAGGGTAGCACTCCACTGAGTTTCCCTCCGCCAGTGACTTCTTTCTAATACAAGGTGCGTGCTCACCTCGTCGGGGAAGAAGGAAGCAAACTTCAAAGTTATTCTGAACTAAAAGACCAGCAGCAGCCTGTACAAGACTTGCAAGTAGGATAGAGATCCCACCGCTAGAAAGGAGGCAGGGAGGGCCGAGGCAGGGAGGGTGGCCGGGAGGCAGGGAGGGCCGTGGCCGAGCCTCTCATGGCCACTCTAATTACCCACTCCTAGCTAAAGGGGGAGTGGGAGACAAAAGCCAGGGAAAACAGCCTTGCAATGATGAACTTCCCAGAAGTGTCGCTGCAAGAGCAGTCAGCCTCTCCTAATGGGAGAGGTGGGCTGGAATGTCCTGTTACCCACTCACTGGATGCTCTTGACTCAGCCAGTCCCTGGAGAAACTCTCTCTGTAGATCAGGCTGGCCTGGAACTCAGAGATCCACCTGCTGGGATTAAAAGTATTCATTACTCCCTTTAATCCCAGCACTTGGGAGGCAGAGGCAGGCGGATCTCTGTGAGTTCGAGACCAGCCTGGTCTACAGAGCTAGTTCCAGGACAGGCTCCAAAGCCACAGAGAAACCCTGTCTCAAAAAACCAAAAAANCAAAAAACCAAAAAAAAAAAAAAAAAAAAAAAAAAAAGTATTCATTACTCATCATCCCCCATCCCTCAGCTAGCATGAGCTTTTAAATATTTTTTTAGATCTGTGTATTTGTGTGTGTGCGTATTAAATGTTGTACCTTCATACATGTCTATTTCATCACATGTGTGCCTGGTGCCGGGAGGTCAGAAGAGGATGTCAGAACCCCTGGGACTGGAGTAATGGCTGGTTGTGAGCCACCATGAGTAGGAACTTTAGAGAGGCCTTTTAATGACTGACAGTTTAGAATCTGGGACAGTCTGCTGTGTGTCACGTAAGCTCTCTGATGAGAAACACTGAGAGAGTTCACAGGCCAGAGTCGCCAGAGGACAGTGGATTCCCTGCTCTCCTGGTGTGGACTCTGACATGACTTCATCTCCCTCATGGAAGACGGTCAACTGGGCCAGCAAGATGGCCCAGCAGCCAAGGAACTTACCTCACAAGCCCACCGCCTGAGTTGGATCCTCAAGCTGGATGCTGAGCACACAGTAAAAATAAATAATTTGTTTTATTATTTTTTTTTTCCAAATGTGCTATTAGTGCTCACAGTGAGGCATCCGAGGTGAGGCGGCCCTTGTGGTGTCGAGCAAGCTGTGAGCCCCAGCTGGCAGAAGCTGTGATGGCTCTGAACCTTCTCCCAGGTTCTCCCAGGTCGTCGTCCAGGCCTGACAGGCTCCTGGAAGGGTTACTGCCGACAGAAGTTTATCTGGGCTGGGCCAGCAGCTGAGCACAGCAGGGCTGGGGAGATAGGTGACTCAGGGGAACTGCACTGGGATGGGGTGACACACGTCCAGATGGCAGGGCAGTATCCCCAGCAGTGGACAGACAAAGAGCACTATGGGAAAAGCACAGATCCAGAGCGCAGGTTCCACACCCACAGCAGGCACAAATCCAAGCCCGAGGGACTCTGGCAAATCTCATTCCCTACCTCCTCCCGGCCTCCGCTCAAATGTCACCTCTCAGTGAAGCTTCCGACTTATATAAACTGGCCACACAGAAAAATAATAAACAAACAAAAACAGATCCTTGACCACATGCCTGGCTTTTTATCCCCATCCATCACGCCAGTCCCTTCCAATGTCCTGTAACACTGGCCCCTCCCCCGTCATCTCAGCCTCTTCAGAGAGAGGAGAACAGGGGAATATCTTCATCAATGCTGCTGAGTGTCCTAGTACATCCCTGAGTGAGGTCGGTCCATAATATTGTAGTCACTTGTTAACTGAACCCTATCAGTGGAGACATAGCCATAGGTTGGAAGGGGGGGAAAAGGCAGGCGTGAACATGCATGCTGGCACAAGCCTTTAATCCCAACATTCCACTCGGAAGGCAGAGGCAGGCAGATCTCTGTGAGTTTGGGGCCAGCTTGGTCTACACAGTGAGTTCCAGGCCAGTTGTAGCTACACAGAGAGGACCCATCCCACCCACCCACCCTTCAAAAAAGGAAAATAAGGACAGGAAATGTAGTTCTTGCTCCGGAGTTTGCCGCCGTAGATTGATAAAAAAACAAACGATGCACACGGGCTTTGGAGGCTCAGAGAAGCTCAGGGATTGTACGCGTCACATATTTTGTTTTGTGCTCCCTGCAAAGATTTACCAATCCATGCGTGGGGTACAAAGTAAGGAAAAAGAAAAGAAACAACTGAACCACTGCTATTTGAATTAACCAGAACTGTGTGTGTTTGCATTTGTATGTGCTGTGTGCATGTACGTCAGCATGCTCTGTGTCTGCTGGCGTCCACACGCAAGCCCCAGATCC